GGCTTCTTGTAGTTCTTGATGAACACAGAGTTTCCATGAGTCTGGCCCTGGGGCAGAGTGCATGGGCATGTCATTTATCGCCTGTTCGAAGTCATTTGGCGTCAGGATAACATCGGATAGGCTTGTGTTTAATCAAATTTTGTGGCTCTCTCATAAAAAATTCATTTTGATCTTCGACTCTCAGTCTGGTTAGCGGCTTGCTAAAAACTGAGTCATATTGGGACTTGAGTAGCTCACTCATTTCCTTGCTGTCATCTGTGTAGGCCCATCTTGTTTAAGTAGGGGCCCAATACTGGACGTTGTTCCGATTTTGATTTGGCATAGGAGAAGAAATACTTTGGGTTTCTTTCGATTTCATTTATGGCTTTTAGTTCTTCCCGCGATTCCGACTCCTAAAGGATTCTTTTAGCTTAAGTTCGATGCTTGCTGTTTCTCTGACCAGTGTCTCCCTACGCATTTCAGATATATTGACCTCTTTTAGCCGCTCTGTTATTCTTTTCCGTCGCCTGTAAAGGGAGCGCCTGTCTCTTTCTGTTTTACATCTACTCCTCCTTTTTCTTAGAGGAATAAGCCTTGTGCATACATCGAGTGCCACCGAGTTAATCTGTTCTAGGCATAAGTTGGGGTCTGTGTGCTTAGTATATCTTCCCAGCTTATATCGGTTAGGACTTGGTTTACTTGGTCCCACTTTATGTTTTTGTTATTGAAGTTGAATTTGGTGAATGCTCCCTCGTGACTAATCTCATTATGTCGGTCTGGGGCTCCGCGCATACATGACTGAACCTCAATTATGTTGTGATCTGAGTATATTGTTTTTGATATGGTTATATTTCTTATCAGATCATCATTGTTAGTGAAGATGAGGTCTAGTGTATTCTCCAGTCTAGTAGGCTCTATTATTTGCTGGTTTTAAATTGAATTTTGTGCAGAGTTTAAAAGCTCGCGTGAGTGTGAGTTTTCATCAGAGCTGCCTCCTGGTGTTATTACTGCAACAATATTATTTGCTATATTCCTCCATTTTAGGTGCCTTAAGTTTGAAATCCCCCGGGAGCAAGATGGGGGGTGCAGGAGCGGAAGGTTTTCCAGACAGTGGTCAATTTTTTAACAGCTTTCCCTGGAATTGTGGGAGTTTGCTCCGGGGGCTTGTGGGATATCAAAATTGACTGGGTTTTTGGGGTTCTCGACCTTTACGCAAAATTCCACAAATCATTTGAGGCATTTAGCATTTTCTGGCAAAAAAAGTGACTCTGCAATTTTCACCAAACCCCCCCCCCTTTTGCCTTTTCACTCTGCACATTGTATAGGTTGTAACCTGGGATCCTATTTCGTTGTCCAAGTGATCCTTTATGTGGGTCTCGTGAAACCCGCGAACATTCCCTTTGCCTCTAAGCTCCACGGATGAAAGGTATTTTGTTGTTTTTTTGCGGTTTAGCCCCTGTATTTTTGCAAAGAAGAATGTTATCGGACTGGTGGATTGTTGGTACTGGGGGGGGGGGAAATTTTTTCCGGCATTAGTTCTGTATTGTTGGTTTGGGTGGGGCCTCGACTGGGGTTTCCCCACTCCGGAATGACGGTTTTGGTGTACGATTTCTGCCATTTCCTGCCAGTTTTTTTTCCTTCCTGGCACTAAAAAACCTTCCTTTGATGGCCCGTGGCTACCCGGTTTTCCCTGGCCGGGGTGTTTGTTCTTTTTTTTCCCCTTTAGATGGTATGCCTGGCAATTTAAGTTATCACAGTCTTTCCGTACTGAAGGGTACCAGTTCGGGTTAAAAGTTTTCAGGAAGGAGTTTGCATTTTCCTGTTTTCATTGGGCGGATTTCCTGGGTGGTCAAGTTGCACTCCCCTCTTTTTTTTCCGATTCCCTGCGAGGATACCGAGTCATGTTGTGCACAGGGTTGGTTTTTCCCTTTGCCTTGGGTTTCTGTGACGTATTCCCCGTTGGTGCATGTTTCCCTTCTTTTTCTATCCTCCCAGCCCAAAAATGGGGCTCCCCCAGTTTTTTTTTGGTATATATCCTCATATTGCTGTGGGTCCTCTTTTTTGCTATTTCGCGGTATTCTAGTTGCAATATTGGTTTTTTTTCTTTGACTACACTTTTTCCTACTAGGCTCCTGTCCCCTTGAGGTCATTTATAGTATTCCTCCGGGTTTAAAATTCCGACTACCTGGCAAAATCCCAGCTTCCCCTTACTGTCTCCAGGACGCATCCCCACTTCCCCTTTCGCTCCCGGACGATCTCCAGCTTCCCCATTACTGCTCCAGGACAGCACTCCAGCTTACCTTTACTGCTCCAGGACAGCACCCCAGTTTTCCATTACGTCTCCCAGGACAGCACTATCAGCCCCCTTTTACTGCTCGGGACATCATCTCCAGCCTTACTTTTCTGACAAATGGCCATATAAAGGGGATACCATCAGCCCACTTTTTTTTCCCATTGTTGTAAAAAGCTTCCGGGTTTTCTATGAAAGCAGCTTTGATTTTGACCTCTTTTAATACCCTTGTGATTTTGTCCACAGTTTTATTCTTTTGGGCATTCCCAAAAAACCTTTCCCCTTTTTTAAATTTGCTTGTACTATCTTGGTATCTCCCAAAAGGGGGGGTAACCAATTTCCACAGAAATGACAATTTATGCTGTGGAAGCCCGTTTTTTTTGACTGCCCACAATACACCAGCTTCATAATGTTTTGAATGGTTGATTTACTGCAATTTACAGCAACCTCTTAAATTTTTCTATTAATAACCTCTAGGTGGTGCACCGAAACCGTTTTAAAACCCAGCCCGGGTTGGGACCTAAAAGGGTTGGGACTAAGGGTTGGGACCAGTGGGGTTTCGGACCAGCAAGGGTTCGGACCGTCTATCTGTTTGATCATGGGTCACTTTTAAAACCATACTGGTCGGTGATTTGAGCTAACACTAAAGGATCTACGGAAATTTTTTCCCGAGAAAATATGGTTTTGATTGATAAAAAAGTATAACTTGCGTGTTGAAGAGCCGGTGACTGTGGCCCCCTAAAAGACAAACCGGTCGGCCTCCACCCTTGTTTATCAATCGCTGTATCTAGGATCCTGGAGAGCGAAACGTTGCCACAGAAGAATTTCTTACTAGTTGAACATGTGTACTGATACCTAACATATTGTAGGTAGTTCTAGCAACATTATTGAATATGATAATAATATACAGTACCGACATGTTGATAAGTAAGACACTTGTGCAACAGTTAGGTGTATTTATTCCGAAACGTTTCGCCTACACAGTAGTCTTTTTCAGGTTGAGGGACTGACCACCTCAGAACTACGTCTTCAAGGGTATGCATTGATTACATCGTCTTCATAACTCTTCTGTACATGACTGAAGAAGTTGTGTACGAATGGTATATAATACCGACAAGATGAGAGTACACAACTTGTCAGACACTGCAACATCATGGAATCTTAATTCTGAGGACATGTACATAACCTTCACGACTACGACAACTACTACTACAACTAACCCATCTCTTTGGGAAGGACCTACTTCCACTGGGGAATCCCGCCTACCAGTGAATTTGCCCTCGTCTGCTTCACCTGACGTTACTATATAAGCGCCAGGATTCTTTCTTCTGCTTCAGAATCTCCACGACTATGGTGCTGTTCGCACCTACTCCTAGGTTGAGGGACTGATTACCTCATCTTCTGTACATAGTTCTACTGTCTTCAAGTTATGTCCTAGAATTTGTATTGATAAAGCCACTGGATGGCGAAACGTCTACAATAAAGATACCCAGATGTTGCACATGTGTCTTACTCTCATGACTGAAGAAGCCTACTGTGTAGACGAAACGTTTCACAATAAAGATACCTAACTGTTGCAGTCAGCCTTACTTATCAGCACCATTACTACTACTGAGTTATTCTCTCAATACCCGATACCGCGATGAACTTGTATATGTGATAAATGGTTTTGAAAACAGTCAAGATTGAGACACTTATGCAATATCTGGGAATCTTTATTAAGGAAACGTTTCGCCTCCTGCTTCGACTCACCTGTCTACAGTATATAAGCCACTTCGGCTATATGCTGTGCTTTCTACAAGACTGATAGACTGAGCACATCGATTCCAGGCTGAGGGACTGATTACCTCAAATTCCTCCTCTTCTTACCCCTCTCTGCTTTGTGTTGGACTGATGAAGCCACTGTGTGGCGAAACGTTTCCTTAATAAAGATTCCCATATGTTGCATAAGTGTCTCAATCTTTAACTTGCATATATTGGAAATAAATGGTATAAAATACCCAGACGATGGAAAAATATACACCAATACAGTATAGTGACGTGGAGTCAGGTGGAGAATGCTAATCAGAGGTTGGATCTGAGAAAGGCCTGCAAGAATAGGCAAGTAGGTTTGTTGCTATGTAGAATAATCATGAGAAAGTTTCCTGGTAAGGGGTTCAGTAATAATAATAATAATAATAATAATAATAATAATAATAATAATAATAATAATAATAATGATGTCTTTATTTCTACCAGTACATGTACAAGGTATACAGACCATAGTTGACATCAGTGACATACTACTATATAGAAAGCCCCTTGTTATGCTGGGCATTTCCTGCAAATTCGGTCAATTTTGTCCCCAGGATGTGACTCACATTAGTCCTAACTAGGTTAGGGCACTGGCTTAAGCCGGTAGGAGACTTGGACCTTCCTCGCATGGGCCAGTAGACCTGCTGCAGCGTTCATTCTCTCTTATGTTTTTAACTAATACTCGAGTACTTATTTTACTGTTAGGTGAACATGGACAGCAGGTGTCTTAAGGAAACACATCTTAATGTTTCCACCCGTACCAGGGATTGAACCACGGGCCTCAGTGTGTGAGCTGAATTGGATATATAGATGAGTGATGATTCCAAGATCCTACGAAACTGAGTACAGGTACAGGTAGGTTGGCCGGACGGGTTCTGATCGAGTCTTCTCCATGTGGTGACTCAGCAGTGGCTCCCCCATAGGGGGGAGTGTCATAATGTTTTTATCGAGGCGGCGGGTGACAGGCGATGATCAGCAGCAACGTCCTCAGGTTCTTGACTGCAAGATACAGAAGGTGTGCTGCCTTGTCATTCCTTCAGCTTGGGTTCATGACCTCAGCGCATATTGTCGAGCGACGAAGAAGGGAGCTGTGTGCCCACTCAGCTGGACTCACGAAATCGTAATGACACGATTGCAAACAAACCATTCCACGGGTGGGGATAGAATCCGCGATCAGAGAGTCTCAAAACTCTTATTGTGGCTAGCTGGTCCACTGGCTAACGCGACGGTCTGGAGTTTTGAGACTCTCTGATCGCGGGTTCTATCCCCACCCGTGGTATGGTTTGTTTCACCTGCTGGACTCTCCTGCAACGACGCCCCTACGCAACCGCCTCCTCCCACAACACTGTCGAACAGACCCGGAAGGATGAGGATAGTCAAGCTTAAAAAATATTTGTTCGATGAAAGAGCATTCTTCCTCAAGGAATTCATTCACTATTACAAATTAGGAGGGCATGAAGGAAGAAGCCTATGATTACGTCACGTTTACTTTTGGTGTCGTGGTGAGAGAAGAGATCATGTTGTTGGTAGACTTTAAAAGGAAGTTCGTAGTCAGCTTCGCAGAGAAGAACATCAGGGAAAGAAAGAACGTCGTCGATTTCTTCTAGCATAAACTGGACTGAGGGGCTGAGTGCCCGACCTGGTTGAGTTTGTGCTGGAAAGCAGGAACGTTGAAGCATCTGGAATCATTTTTGCCCCCGTTGTCGTTGTTCAAGATTAAGACACCACCTCCTTTATCCTCGGTGTTGACTTTGATGTTTGTGTCTTCTACTAAAGTTTTAAGTACAGTGATGTAACGTCGAGGTAGGACTGGGGAGCTGTGTTGAGATGACGAATGAAATAATGTGTTGCAGATAGTCTTTTTGAAAGTCGGAGTCATTGTGTCTGTAATTTTTAGCGATGAAGTGGAGGTCTTGTTCCGGTTTCGCGATTCCTATAGCAAATTTGAGGCTTAAGCTGAGGGCTTCGGTTTCTGTACTCGACAGGTTCACTCGGAAACTCCAAGCTCTGCGAAAACCGTCAGTGGAAAAAACTGGAAAAACCTGAAATTATTTAAAATCTTTCATCTCGTCCACTGTCGAGTACAGAAACTGAAGCCCTCAGCTTAAGCCTCAAATTTGCTACAGATCACGAAACCAAAACAAGACCTGCACTTCATCTCTAAAATCTACAGACAAACCACGATGAACACAGCTTCTCGTTCGATCAGCGAAGCATTTAGCTCTATTTGCTGACGAAAATAAAAGGTATCAAAAAAAAAAAAACAGATATCTGTAGTGGTACTGTGTCTGTATAATGCGGACGTTCATGAGTCACTTCTCAGTTTGATAACAGCAGATGCTCTGGATGAAAATTCTCTCCGATACACAGATAAAAACATGTGTATTGGACAGTGCTGCTGTAGTGTCAGGCTGTGCTGCTGTAGTGTCAGGCTGTGCTGCTGTAGTGTCAGGCTGTGCTGCTGTAGTGTCAGGCTGTGCTGCTGTAGTGTCAGGCTGTGCTGCTGTAGTGTCAGGCTGTGCTGCTGTAGTGTCAGGCTGTAGGAGTTCAGAAAAGAAGTTCTACAAACGTTGTATGTTCACTGTTTCGTTCACAGGTTAAACTGAACATTAGCTGACTGTTTACCTACCTGGAGTTTACCTGGAGAGAGTTCCGGGGGTCAACGCCCCCGCGGCCCGGTCTGTGACCAGGCCTCCTTAGGTCAGTGTCCCAGGATGCGACCCACACCAGTCGACTAACACCCAGGTACCCATTTTACTGATGGGGAACATAGACAACAGGTGGAAAGAAACACGTCCAATGTTTCTACTCTGGCTGGGAATCGAACCCAGGCCCTCGCCGTGTGGAGCGAGAGCGTTAACCACCAGGCCACCAGAGCCCCCCTGTGTGTACAACATTCAGACAGTGGCCGAGTTCTTTGTCATAATCCAGAAATTGTACAATTTTGGGGGGATCAGTTGTGCACATGTTCATGAAAAGAAAGAGGCGCTAATTTTTCAAAACATCTAATAAAATTAAAGAAGACTATACATAAGATGGTCCCGTCGAGACACTGTTTATTCTGCAGTCACATTAACATTATCAACAATTTCTACAATCCTACTAGACTTTATTAACACTTCAAAATGCACATAGAAGGGCACTATACACTCTCATTAATGTCATATATAATTACTCTTACAAGACACCTGATGTCCCTGTTCACCTGGGAGTAAAATAGGTGCCTGGGTGCTAGTGACTGGTGTATACCTGGAGAGTGTTTCGGGGGTTAACGCCCCCGCGGCACGGTCTGAGACCAGGCCTCGTGGTGGATCAGGGCCTGATCAACCAGGCTGTTACTGGTGACCGCACATGAACTGACGTACGAACCACAGCCCGACTGGTCAGGTACTGACTTTAGGTGCCTGTGTCAAGTGCCTTCTTGAAGACAGTCAGGGGTATATTGGTAATTCCCCTTATGTATGCTGGGAGGCAGTTGAACAGTCTTGGGTCCCTGACACTTATTGTGTTGTCTCTCAGTGTACTCGTGGCGCCCCTGCTTTTCATTGGAGGAATGTTGCATCTCCTGCCCAGTGTTTTGCTTTCATAGGGAGTGACTTTCGTGTGCAAGTTTAGTTCTAATCCCTCTAGGATTTTCCAAGTGTATATTATCGAGAACCAAAACCTGGCCATTGTGGTTGTATACAAGCCTCCGGATGCAACTTCCCAACAATTCCAGGAACAGCTTTTGAAAATTGATCACTGTCTGGAAAATCTTCCAGCTCCTGCCCTCAACCACCATCTTACTCCTGGGGGATTTCAACCTAAGCTACCTAAAATGGAGGAATGTAGCAAATAATGTTGCAGCAGAGATAACCCCCGGAGGCAGCTCAGATGAAAACTCGCACATAAACGAGCTTTTAAATCTCTGCACCAAATTCACCTTAAACCAGCAAATAATAGAGCCTACAAGATTGGAGAATATGCTGGACCTCATCTTCACTAACAATGATGATCTCATACGAAATGTTATCATATCAAAAACAATATACTCAGATCATAACATAATAGAGGTTGAGACATGTATGTGAGGGACCCCAGACCGACTAAATGTGATCAGTCACGAGGAAACCTTCACCAAATTCAACTTCATAAGGTGGGACCAAGCAAACAAAGTCCTAAATGATATAAACTGGAAAGATATTCTAAGAAACACGGATCCTACCCTATGTCTAGAACAAATTAACTCTGTGGCAGTCGAGGTATGCTCAAGGCATATTCCTTTAAGGAAAAGGAGATGTAAACTAGAAAGAGAAAGGCGTTCCCTATACAGACGAAGGCAAAGGATAACAGAGCGGCCAAAAGAGACTAATATATCTGTAATACGTAGGGAGATACTGGTCAGAGAAATAAAAAACATCGAACTAAAGGTAAAGGAATTTTACAGGAGTTATATACGTGGGTAGAATTAAAAGCTATAAATGAAATTGAAAGAAACCCAAAATATTTCCTTTCTTATGCCAAATCAAAGTCGAGAACAACGTCCAGTATTGGGCCCCTACTTAAACGAGATGGGTCCTACACAGATGACAGCAAGGAAATGAGTGAGCTACTCAAGTCCCAGTATGACTCGGTTTTTAGCGAGCCACTAACCAGACTGAGAATCGATGACCTAAATGAATTTTTTATGAGAGACAGAATTTGGTAGACTCGAACTTATCTGATGTTATCTTGACGCCAAATGACTTCGAAAAGGCGATACATGACATGCCCATGCACTCTGTCCCAGGCCCAGACTCATGGAACTCCGTGTTCATCAAGAACTGCAAGAAGCCCCTATCATGTGCTTTTAACATCCTATGGAGAAGGAGCATGGACACAGAGGTCGTCCCACAGCTGTTAAAAAAACAGACATAGCCCCACTCCTCAAAGGTGGCAGTAAAGCAATAGCAAAGAACTACAGACCGTTAGCGTTAACGTCCCACATCATAAAAATCTTTGAAAGGGTTCTAAGAAGCAAGATCGCTGCCCATTTAGATACCCATCAGTTACACAACCCAGGGCAACACTGGTTTAGAGCAAGTCGCTCCTGTCTGTCCCAACTACTGGACCACTATGACAAGGGCCTAGAAGTTAAACAAAACGCAGATGCAGTATACACAGACTTTGCAAAAGCCTTCGACAAGTGTGACCATGGTGTAATAGCGCACAAAATGCGTGATGAAGGAATAACAGGAAAAGCTGGTAGATGGATCTATAATTTCCTAACAAACAGAACACAAAGAGTAGTAGGCGGCTACGATGAAAAGCTCTGTTCCACAAGGCACAGTACACGCCCCTATCTTGTTCTTCATCCTCATATCTGACATAGACATGGATGCAGATGACATCCGAATTTGCATGACAATGTACCCCACTGAAGACACTGCAAGACTCTAGGCAGACATCAACCAAATCTTTAAATGGGCCGCAGAACAGAATATGAAGTTCAGTGATGAGAAATTTCAACTACTCCGATATGGAAAACGTGAGAAAATTAAAACTATATCGGATTATAAAACAAATTCCAACTACACAATAGAGCGAGAAACTAATGTAAAAGACCTGGGAGTGATCATGTCAGAGGATCTCACCTTCAAAGACCATAACAGTGTATCAATCGCATCTGCTAGAAAAATGACAGGATGGATAATAAGAACCTTCAAAACTAGGGATGCCAAACCCATGAGGACACTCTTCAGGTCACTTGTTCTATCTAGGCTGGAATATTGCTGCACACTAACAGCACCGTTCAGGGCAGGTGAAATTGCTGACCTAGAAAATGTACAGAGAACCTTCACGGCGCGCATAACGGAGATAAAACACCTCAATTACTGGGAGCGCTTGAAGTTCCTAAACTTGTACTACCTAGAACGCAGGTGGGAGAGATACATGATTATATACACTTGGAAAATCCTAGAGGGATTAGCACCAAACTTACACAAGAAAATCACTCTGTATGAAAGCAAAAGACTCGGCAGACGATGCAACATCCCCGCAGTGAAAAGCAGGGGTGTCACTAGCACGATAAGAGACAACACAATAAGTGTCAGGGGCCCAAGACTGTTCAATTGCCTCCCAGCATGCATAAGGGGGATTACCAATAGACCCCTGACTGTCTTCAAGAAGGCGCTGGACAGGCATCTAAAGTCAGTACCTCGCTGTGGTTCGTACGTTGGGTTGCGTGCGGCCAACAGCAACAGCCCGGTTGATCAGGCTCTGATCCTCCATGAGGTCTGGTCACAGACCGGGCCGCGGGAGCGTTGACCCCCGAAATCCTCTCCTGGTATACTGCAGATATGTGGAATCCTGGGACAAAATTGACCTAATTTGCGGGAAATGTTCAGCATCACAAGCGACTTTCTATATATTATTATTATTATTATTATTATTATTATTATTATTATTATTATTATTATTATTAAAGATTCGCCGGTGTTCTGGCGGCCCGGGCCTTGTCCAAGTGGTGGCCCGGCCTTGACTCCCTCTTTAGGGAGTGTCTGAGACCTAAGTCTCCCATGGGAGGAGGCACAAGTACCTCCTCATCTTTGGGACCAACTGTCCCCAGGCCTAGCCACAAGCTAGGCCTCTCTGGTCTGCCATCCCCGCCCCAAGGGGACTAATGGGAATGACAGTCTTGTGAGCTGAAAGCTCGGGCTCAGGCACCTACCCTGCCCTAGAAGGGCTGGGCATGGTGTCGATCTTTTTGAATTGAATTGAATTATTATTATTATTATTATTATTATTATTATTATTATTATTATTATTATTATTATTATTATTATTATTATTATTATTATTATACTGCATATAACTGAGTCACTGTCTGACCACCTTCAGTCCCTTCACCTCCAGCTGCCTTCTAATGTTAATCTTGTTAAGTCACTCCTAGCAGATTACTTCTCAGGAATTCTGCACACATACTGTCTTGTCAGACTGGTTAGTCAACGAATTAAGAAGGCGATATTCAAACAAATCACGTAACATACTGAAGGTTCAAACAACTCAGGTAACATACTGAAGGTTCAAACAAGGTAATATACTGAAGGTTCAAACAACTCAGGTAACATACTGAAGGTTCAAACAACTCAGGTAACATACTAAGGGTTCAAACAAGGTAATATATTGAAGGTTCAAACAACTCAGGTAAAATACTAAGGGTTCAAACAAGGTAATATACTGAAGGTTCAAACAACTCAGGTAACATACTGAAGGTTCAAACAACTCAGGTAACATACTGAGGGTTCAAACAAGGTAATATACTGAAGGTTCAAACAACTCACGTAATATACTGAAGGTTCAAACAACTCAGGTAACATACTGAAGGTTCAAACAACTCAGGTAACATACTGAGGGTTCAAACAAGGTAATATACTGAAGGTTCAAACAAGGCAATATACTGAAGGTTCAAACAAGGCAATATACTGAAGGTTCAAACAACTCAGGTAACATACTGAGGGTTCAAACAAGGTAATATACTGAAGGTTCAAACAAGGTAATATACTGAAGGTTCAAACAACTCACGTAATATACTGAAGGTTCAAACAACTCAGGTAACATACTGAAGGTTCAAACAAGGTAATATACTGAAGGTTCAAACAACTCAGGTAATATACTGAGGGTTCAAACAAGGTAATATACTGAAGGTTCAAACAACTCAGGTAACATACTAAGGGTTCAAACAACTCAGGTAACATACTGAAGGTTCAAACAACTCAGGTAATATACTGAGGGTTCAAACAAGGTAATATACTGAAGGTTCAAACAACTCAGGTAACATACTGAAGGTTCAAACAAGGTAATATACTGAAGGTTCAAACAAGGCAATATACTGAAGGTTCAAACAAGGCAATATACTGAAGGTTCAAACAGCTCAGGTAACATACTGAGGGTTCAAACAAGGTAATATACTGAAGGTTCAAACAAGGTAATATACTGAAGGTTCAAACAACTCACGTAATATACTGAAGGTTCAAACAACTCAGGTAACATACTGAAGGTTCAAACAAGGTAATATACTGAAGGTTCAAACAACTCACGTAATATACTGAAGGTTCAAACAACTCAGGTAACATACTGAAGGTTCAAACAAGGTAATAAAACTGAAGGTTCAAACAACTCAGGTAATATACTGAGGGTTCAAACAAGGTAATATACTGAAGGTTCAAACAACTCAGGTAACATACTGAAGGTTCAAACAACTCAGGTAATATACTGAGGGTTCAAACAAGGTAATATACTGAAGGTTCAAACAACTCAGGTAACATACTGAAGGTTCAAACAAGGTAATATACTGAAGGTTCAAACAACTCAGGTAATATACTGAGGGTTCAAACAAGGTAATATACTGAAGGTTCAAACAACTCAGGTAACATACTGAAGGTTCAAACAAGGTAATATACTGAAGGTTCAAACAACTCAGGTAACATACTGAAGGTTCAGACAAGGTAATATACTGAAGGTTCAAACAACTCAGGTAACATACTGAAGGTTCAAACAACTCAGGTAACATACTGAAGGTTCAAACAACTCAGGTAACATACTGAAGGTTCAAACAACTCAGGTAACATACTGAGGGTTCAAACAAGGTAATATACTGAAGGTTCAAACAACTCAGGTAACATACTGAAGGTTCAAACAAGGTAATATACTGAAGGTTCAAACAACTCAGGTAACATACTGAAGGTTCAAACAAGGTAATATACTGAAGGTTCAAACAACTCAGGTAACATACTGAAGGTTCAAACAACTCAGGTAACATACTGAAGGTTCAAACAACTCAGGTAACATACTGAGGGTTCAAACAAGGTAATATACTGAAGGTTCAAACAACTCAGGTAACATACTGAAGGTTCAAACAACTCAGGTAATATACTGAAGGTTCAAACAACTCAGGTAACATACTGAAGGTTCAAACAAGGTAATATACTGAAGGTTCAAACAAGGTAATATACTGAAGGTTCAAACAAGGTAATATACTGAAGGTTCAAACAAGGTAATATACTGAAGGTTCAAACAAGGTAATATACTGAAGGTTCAAACAAGGTAATATACTGAAGGTTCAAACAACTCAGGTAACATACTGAAGGTTCAAACAACTCAGGTAACATACTGAAGGTTCAAACAAGGTAATATACTGAAGGTTCAAACAACTCAGGTAACATACTGAAGGTTCAAACAACTCAGGTAATATACTGAAGGTTCAAACAAGGTAATATACTGAAGGTTCAAACAACTCAGGTAACATACTGAAGGTTCAAACAACTCAGGTAACATACTGAAGGTTCAAACAACTCAGGTAACATACTGAAGGTTCAAACAAGGTAATATACTGAAGGGTTTAAACCAAATCAGGTAACATACTTTAAGGTTCAAACAACTCAGGGAATATACTGAGGTTCAACAAGGTAATATACTGAAGGTTTCAAACAACTCAAGTAATATGCTGAAGGTTCAAAAAAAGGTAATATACTGAAGGTTCAAACAACTCAGGTAACATACTGAAGGTTCAACAACTCAGGGAACATACTGAGGGTTCAAACAAAGGGAATATACTGAGGTTCAAACAACTCAAGTAATATGCTGAAGGTTCAACAAAGGTAATAAACTGAAGGTTTTAAACAACTCAGGTAACATACTGAAGGTTCAAACAACCAGTAATATACTAAGGTTCAAACAACTCAGGTAACATACCCGAAGGTTCAAACAACTCAGGTAACATACTGAAGGTTCAAACAAGGTAATATACTGAAGGTTCAAACAACTCAGGTAACATACTGAAGGTTCAAACAACTCAGGTAACATACTCAAGGTTCAAACAAGGTATTATACTGAAGGTTCAAACAACTCAGGTAACATAAATCAAGGTTTTTAAACAACTCAGGGAACATACTCAAGGTTCAAACAAGGTAATATACTGAAGGTTCAAACAACTCAGGTAACATACTGACAGTTCAAACACGGTAACATACTAAAGGTTCAAACAAGGTAACATACTGAAGGTTCAAACAAGGTAACATACTGACAGTTCAAACAAGGTAACATACTAAAGGTTCAAACAAGGTAACATACTGAAGGTTCAAACAAGGTAACATACTAAAGGTTCAAACAAGGTAACATACTGAAGGTTCAAACAAGGTAACATACTGAAGGTTCAAACACGGTAACATACTAAAGGTTCAAACAAGGTAACATACTGAAGGTTCAAACAAGGTAACATACTAAAGGTTCAAACAAGGTAACATACTGAAGGTTCATCAGCACTAAATTCTGAAGAAGCGTCATTTTTGGAGAATCTTGTTCACGCTGTCACAACTTCACTTGAATTTACTACTATGATAGTAAGACACGTGTGTAACACTTAGGTATCTTTATTCTGAAACCTTTCAGCTACACAGTAGACTTCTTCAGTCGAGTACAGAGGCAGCAGAAGCAGTAGATATGTAAAGACGATATAATCAGTCCATCTCCTTTAAGCCTGAATACCTTCCAGTCCCCCCACAGACGCACCCCATGATTATAATAATAATAATAATAATAATAATAATAATAATAATAATAATGTAGTGCTGTATCTTCAGGTGTTGTTTAACCAGACGGCGACACTACAGTACCTGGAGTACTCTGACCACCTGCCTGACTTAACCGGTTTCACCTTACATTACTGGCTTCACCTACTGCAACCCTCCAGCCTCGCCTGCCCCTTCACCTACTACAGTAAGTCATGATAAAGATATATATATATATATATATATATATATATATATATATAATATATAATATATTATATATATAATATATATATATGTATGATGTAATATGACTGTCGTCACTTTCTAGACTGAGGTCAAGAATGTACATTTCAGCTTTAGGTAATGTGTACGAATTAATGTACACTGATGTGTGTATCTCTGTGTATTTACATTGACGGTATTAGGTATATATTTACTAAATGTTTACGTTAATCCCTATTTTAACTATTAAGTTATTCTTGTCATGTGGTGTATGAGTGATATGTAATCTTAATGACCCTCGTGTAGCCAATAGACTTTAAATATACTAATAGACATATGGCACCTTCTACTCCAATAGATGAGGCAGATGACACCTATGTACAGGTGTTGATCGTGTCCTCGGGGGTGAACACGTGGTCGTGGGTGTTGCAGATCAACGACGTGGTTGTGAGTCTCGTCCAGTCCCCTGTGAACCTGATAGGCAAGTGGCACCACGTTCTTCATTCCTGGCACTCTGGCACCGGTAGCTGGAGTGTGTACCTGGACGGACGTCTGGTGGATAGTAGTGTCAACACCCAGGTGAGTCAAGCAGATGCTGCTGAAGAGGACCCCAGAAGGGGGTCGAAACATACAGATCAATTAATCTCCTGAGTTTCAGTTTATTGTGGCAACGTAACGGCTTGACAAAGTTCCTGGAGAGCGAAACGTTGCCACAATAACGTCACATTAGTTACATCTGTGTCCATTTACCTAGCATTTTGTTGGTAATTCTACCATTATAATTAAACATATATTTGCATAAAGCTTTCCTTGTGATGTATCAAAACGTCTGAATATTAACTGACTTAATATAGCTTGACACGAAGCAAAACATTGGTACAGTAAACATTTAGACAGCATGTATGTTGCACTCCATCCTGTCAACATCTTGCCCTTGTATTCAGAGATGTTGCCGATAGTGGTTGTGTTAATGGTGGATTATCCTTGGTTAATAGGTCCTCCGGGTATATTATCCTACGATAATGATTTCAGGTAAACTGAACACAAAGTTAGATAGTAAAGAACACGATATCCAGCCTTAAAAACGCAAAAAAAAAAAGACAAAAGATGAGTGTTCCAAGGGTCTTTCCTGGCATCGTTACTGCTTCCCATTTTCACCTCTGACAGAGAAAACAGTATACAGATAACCCTCACAAAGCTCATGACGATGTTTCTGGCTGACCTGGACCACTGACAGGTGGTCATCTCCTCTATAATATGTGCAAGTTAGATGCGTATTGTTCCAGTCACTGTATTGTGTCCCAAAAATTTAGGTCCGCCACAGTCAGTGGCGGACCTATATTTTGGGGGGCCCTAAGCTTGAACTGTATGGGGGCCCCTTCGCAACCCCTACTTATACAGTAGTAGACCCAAAATTTTTAAACTAAGTAGATTAAAGTGGCTTCTGGGGCCCCTCTGGGATTAGGGGCCCTGAGGCTTAAGCTTCATTAGTTTCAGAGTAGATTCGCCCCTGGCCACAGCGTTGTATTATATGTGTGGTGTTATTACACAGACGAAGGGGTTGGTAGTGAGCGGAGGTGGTCGAGCGTTCTCAGGTCACCGTCAGAGAGTCATCAGGGGCAGCGACAAATGTGTTGACGGTGATGAAGGTCTCTATGGATGGCTCACACTGCTCTCCCTTGATACACGCGGGATAGAGGTATGTACACTAATAATACAATCATAAACATGTCAGTACGCTTCTGACAATACTAGTTATCTGAAGTCTACCTGGAGGGAGTTTTGGGGGTCAGCGCCCCCGCGCCACAGTCCAGGGCCAGGCCTCACTCTGAAAGTGTTTCTTTACTGGTCACCCTACCTCGGTGGGAGACGACCGAAGTGTTAGATACTACTAGTATTATTTCTACTACTACTACTACTATTTCTACTACTACTACTAGTACTACTACTACTACTACTAACTCTACTACTACTAGTACTACTACTACTACTACTACTAGTACTACTACTACTACTACTAGTACTACTACTACTACTAGTACTACTTCTACTACTACCATTACTACTAGTACTACTACTACTAGCACTACTACTACTACTAGTACTACTACTACTAGTACTACTACTACTACTAGTACTACTACTACTAGTACTACTACTACTAGTAGTAGTAGTACTACTACTAGTACTACTACTACTACTAGTACTACTACTACTAGTACTACTACTACTACTACTAGTACTACTACTACTTGTAGTAGTACTACTACTACTACTAGTACTACTACTACTACTAGTACTACTACTACTAGTACTACTACTACTAGCATTACTACTAGTACTACTACTACTAGTACTACTACTAGTACTACTAGTACTTCTACTACTACTACTACTAGTACTACTACTACAGTCTACTACTATACTACTACTATACTTACTAACTACTACTACTACTACAGTACTACTACTAGTACTAGTACTACTACTACTAGTACTACTAGTACTACTACTACTACTACTAGTACTACTACTACTACTAGTACTACTACTACTAGTACTACTACTACTAGTACTACTACTATACTACACTACTAGTACTACTACTAACTACTGCTACAGTACTACTACTATAGTACTACTATACTATACTACTACAGTACTACTAGTACTACTCTACTACTAGTACTACTACTACTACTGTATACTACTACTACTAGTACTACTACTACTAGTACTAAATACTACTACTACTACTGCTAGTGCTACTACTACTAAATGCTAGTACTATACTACAGAACTAGTAGTAATACTACTACTACACTATACTAGTACTACTACCTAGTACTACTACTACACTGCTAGTACTACTACTACTAGTACTACTAGTACTATACTACTACTACTACTACTAGTACTACTACTACTACTACTATACTAACTACTACTACTACTATATACTACTACTAGTATAACTACTACTAGTACTACTACTACTATACTACTACTACTACTAGTATACTACTAGTACTACTACTACTACTAGTACTACTACTACTACTACTAGCACACTAGTAACTACTATACTAGTACTACTACTATGCTAGTACTACTACTACTATTACTACTACTACTGCTAAATCTACTACTACTAGTACTACTACTATATAGTACTACTACTAGTACTACACTACTACTAGTACTACACTAGTAAATACTACTACTAGTACTAGTACTACAGTACTACTACTACTACTACTGCTATACTACTACTATGTCTACTACTACTAGCTACTACTACTACTACTAGTACTACTAAATACTACTAGTACTACTACTACTACTACTACTACTAAATAACTACTACTACTGCTATACTACTACTACATACTGCACTAACTACTCAGTACTACTACTACTACTAGTACTACTACTACTAAACTGCTAGTACTACTACCTACTACAGTACTACTACTAACTACTACTAGTACTACTACTACTACTACTACTACTAGTACTACTACTACTACTAGTTACTACTACTACTACTACTACTGCTACTAGTACTACTACTACTACTAGTACTACTACTACAATACTAGTACTACTACTACTAGTACTACTACGCTACTAGTACTACTACTACTATACTACTACTAGTACTACTACTACTACTAGTACTACTACTACTATAGTACTACTAGTACTACTACAGTGACTACTAGTACTACTACTAGATACTACTACTAGAGTACTACATACTACTACTAGTACTACTACTACTACTAAATACTACTAGTACTACTACTACTTCTAGTACTACTACTGCTACTAGTACTACTACTACTACTACTAGTACTACACTAACTACTACTAACATACTACTACTACTACTAGTACACTACTTTACTAGTACTAACTACTACTACTAGTACTACTACTACTACTACTACTAACTACTATTACTACTACTAGTACTACACTACTACTACTAGTACTACTACTACTACTAGTACTACTACTACTACTAGTAACACTACTACTACTACTACTATACTACTACCTAAATACTAGTACTACTACTAAATACTACTAAGTACTACTACTACTACTACTACTACTACTACTACAGTACTACTACTACTACTACTACTACAACATTACTACTACACTAGTACTACTACTACTACTAGTACTACTACTACTACTACTGTACACTACTACTACTACTTATACTACTAACTACTACTTAGTACTACTACTACTACTACTAGTACTACTACTACTACTACTAGTACTACTACTACTACTACTACTAGTACTACTACTACTACTACTACTACTAGTACTACTACTACTACTACTACTATACTACTAACTACTACTAGTACTACTACTACTACTACTACTAGTACTACTACATACTACTACTACTAACTAGTACTACTACTACTACTACTACTAGTAACTACTACTACTACTACTAGTACTACTACTACTACTACTACTACTAGTACTACTACTACTACTACTACTAGTACTACTACTACTACTACTAGTACTACTACTACTACTACTAGTACTACTACTACTACTACTACTACTAGTACTACTACTACTACTACTACTACTAGTAATAATGTCATTTTGTTATATTTTTCAGGAACGGGTTCATACATGAATCATAAAAAATCTTCTATATATTTATTTTCACTTTTTTAAATCTACCTACATTGACTATAACTATCAAATACGTCTGATATATGTAATAACAAATGGTCATGACTATGATAATGATATACAATACCGACAAGTTAATAAGTAAGACACATGCGCAACAGTTATTCCGAAACGTTTCGACTTCAGTCCAGTACAGAGGAGACAGCAGAAGAAGTAGAGATATAAAGACGATGTAATCAGTCTATCACCCTTGAGAATGTAGTTTTGAGGTGATCAGTCCCTCAGCCTGGAGATGAGTTTTGCTCCGTAGTCTGGAACACTGTTCCGGACTATAGTGGCTTTTTCATCACATAGAATCACAAAAAATATAAAACCCAGGGGAACATGGGTTTAGAGCAGGTCATTCCTGTCTTTCACACTTGCAGGACCACTGGCATGGTCCTGGATGCACTGGAAAACAAGCTAAATGTTGACGTAGTGAACACTGATTTGCAAAAGTCTTCAACAAGTGACCCATATGCTGTAACGCACAAAATGCGTGCAAAAAAATAATTGAAAAAGTGGGCGGATGGATATTTAACTTTCTGGAGAGTATTAATGAACAAAATGAAATCGTGGGTTGCCACAAGGAAAAGTTGTGCCCCAAGGCATTGTATTCACTCCACATCTGTTTCTCATCTTATATTCGACGCGAAGAGAGGCATAAATCTAAGCACTATACCATCCTTGACAGACGATACTAGAATTTGTATGCAAGTGACATTCATTAAGGAACTAAGCCTACGAACTAGGCTCCAAAAGGGGCCTGGTTTCTAGGCCTTTTGTTTGTAGCTCTTACGCTACTGTCCACAGGATAGATATGGGGTGCATAGTAAACTAGCCACTTGGGCGGCAAAATCTAAAAATCTTTAAGGACACACTAACCTCCAAGGTGATATAATCAAGTCTTCCAGTAGGCCACTGACAGCAATATGATGTTTAACGAGAACGCATTTCTCTGCTGTGGAGAAGTGGAAGAAACGAAGTCTGGAATGGAGTACAAGAAAAACTCATACAAATGTTCAAGAAGTACAAGAAGCGTAATATCAAAAAATATGGAAGTATTGTTTCAAGATCTCACATTCAAGAATCACAAGTCTAATATCACAACTACGAGGAAAATGATAGTCTGGAAAACAAGAACTTTTTAAACAAGAGTTGCTAAGTCAATAATATTCTTCAGAGATCTTCTCTGTAGGCAGCAATATTGATGTATACTAACAGCTTCTCTTAGTTTAGGCGAAACTACAGACTGGGAACATACAAAGAATCTTCACTACTCGTATAAATCAAGTCAGTCTTGTTCTGTAAGTTACTTTTCTTTATTCACGTCAGTAATATACAATTTCATCCATGTTTACTGTTTTTTTTTCTTTCATTAGACTTTTTTTTGGGATGATAAATAATTAAATTCGACGTGGTGTGGTTGTTTCCTCAGCGTGGTGACTACTGGATGAACAGGATGATGGTGGTGGTGGTGGCTGACGGATGCAGACCTGAGCTAGGAGGTGATGCTCTCAGCTGGTACCACACTCCTAGGAGAGGTTATGGTGGAGTAATGGAAGCTAGGGCTAACACCACCTGTGGCCTCTTCTAAACCACCTGCCACACATTTTCAACCACCTGAGGCCCCTGTTGAACCTCCTGCGGTTTCTTCATGAACCTGAAGGTAGAGACGACCAGGCACATCTACAAGGACATATCGTATCTGTTCTTGAAACTGTGTGTAGTGGTTGCCTCCACCTCTACATCTAGGGTTTTAGACCTGCTGACCAAACACTGAAAAGCCTCTAACAACACAATGTCTTATCTACCTGACATCTGTATCATCTGGCTTCCTCTCCCTGTATCTTCAGTACTCTCTGTATCCTTAGTATTCTCTCTTTGTATCCTGAACCAATACTCTGTATCCTCAGCACTTTGTATCCTCATCACTCTGTATCCTCAGTACTGTATATCTTCAGTACTCTCTGTATCCTCAGTACTCGGCATCTTCAGTAGTCTCTGTATCCTCAGCACTCTGCATCCTCAGTACTCTCTCTCTGTATCCTCAGCACTCTGTATCCTCATATTCTCTGTATCCTCAACACTCTGTATCCTCAGTACTCTCCTAGCAGCCTCAGTACTCTCCTAGCATCCTCAGTGCTATCCTAGCATCCCCAATACTCTCCTAGCGTTCTCAGTGCTCTCCTACAATCCTTAGTACTCTCCTAGCATCCTCAGTACTCTCCTTGCATCCTCAATAATCTCCTAGCATCCTCAGTACTCCCCTAGCTTCATCAGCACTCTCCTTGCATCCTCAGGACTCTCCTAGCATCATCAGTACTCTCCTAACATCCTCAATACTCTCCTAGCATCCTGAGTACTCTCCTAGCATCCTCAATACTCTCCTAGCGTCCTCAGTAATCTTCTGGCGCCCTCAGTACTCTCCTAGCATCCTCAGTACTCTCCTAGCATCCTCAGTCCTCTCCTAGCATCCTCAATACTCTCTTAGCATCCTCAGTACTCTCCTAACATCCTCAATACTCTCCTAGCATCCTGAGTACTCTCCTAGCATCCTGAATACTCTCCTAGCGTCCTCTGTACTCTCCTAGAGTCCTCAGTACTCTCCTTGCATCCTCAGTGCTCTCCAAGCATCCTCAGTACTCCACCTAGCGTCCTCACTACTCCACATAGCGTCCTCAGTACTCTCCTTACACCCTCAGTACTCTCCTAGTATCCTCAGTACTCTCCTTGCATCCTCAGTACTCTCCTTGCATCCTAAGTACACTCATAGCATCCTCAGTACTCTCCTAGCCAACTCAGTACTCTCCTAGCATCCTCAATACTCTCCTAGCGTTCTCAGTGCTCTCCTAGCATCCTTAGTACTCTCCTGGCATCCTCAGTACTCTCCTTGCATCCTCAGTACTCTTCCAGCTTCCTCAGTACTCCCCCTAGCGTCATCAGTACTCTCCTTGCATCTTCAGTACTCTCTTAGCATCCTCAGTACTTCCCCTAGCGTCCTCAGTACTTTCCTTGCATTCTCAGTGCTCTCCTAGGATCCTCAATACTCTCCTAGCGTCCTCAGCACTCTCCTAGCGTCCTCAGCACTCTCCTAGCGTCCTCAGTACTTTCCTAACATCCTCAGTACTCTCCTAGAATCCTCAGTACTCTCCTAGCATCCTCAATACTTTCCTAGCATCCTCAGTACTCTCTAGCATCCTCAGTACTCTCCTAGCATCCTCAGTACTCTCCTAACGTCCTCAGTACTCTCCTAGCATCAGTACTCTCCTAGCATCCTCAGTACTCTCCTAGCATCCTCAGTACTCTCTTAGCATCCACAATACTTTCCTAGCATCCAGAGTACTCACCTAGCATCCTCAATACTCTCCTAGCGTCCTCAGTACTCTCCTAGCGTCCTCAGTACTCTCCTAGCATCCTCAGTGCTCTTCTAGCACCCTCAGTACTCTCCTAGCGTCCTCAGTACTCTCCTAGCATCCCCATTACTCTCCTAGCATTCTCAATACTTCCCTAGCATCCTCAGTACTCTCCTAGCATTCTCAATACTCTCCTAGCATTCTCGGTATTCTCCTAGCATCCTCAGTACTCTCCTAGCATCCTCAGTACTCTCCTAGCATCATCAGTACTCTCCTAGCATCCTCAATACTCTCCTAGCATCATCAATACTCTCCTAGCCTCCTCAGTACTCTCCTAGCGTGCTCAGTACTCTCCTAGCACCCTCAGTACTCTCCTAGCGTCCTCAGTACTCTCCTAGCATCCTCAGTACTCTCCTAGCATTCTCAATACTCTCCTAGCGTACTCAGTACTCTCCTAGCATCTTCAATACTCTCCTAGCATCCTCGGTATTTTCCTAGCGCCCTCAGTACTCTCCTAGCATCCTCAGTGCTCTCCTAGCATCCTCAGTACTCTCCTAGCATCCTCAGTACTCTCCTAGCATCCTCAGTACTCTCCTAGCATCCTCAGTACTCTCGTAGCATCCTCAGTACTCTCGTAGCATCCTCAGTACTCTCCTAGCATCCTCAGTACTCTCCTAGCATCCTCAGTACTCTCGTAGCATCCTCAGTACTCTCCTAGCGTCCTCAGTACTCGTCTAGCATCCTCAGTACTCTCCTAGCATCCTCAGCACTCTCGTAGCATCCTCAGTACTCTCCTAGCA